GGGGCTGAATAATTTTGCATGCCCAATTTTTCAGTTTTTTATTTGTTAAAAAAGTTTGAAATATCCAATAAATTTCGTTCCACTTCATGATTGTGTCCCACTTGTTGTTGATTCTTCACAAAAAATTACAGTTTTATATCTTTATGTTTGAAGCCTGAAATGTGGCAAAAGGTCGCAAAGTTCAAGGGGGCCGAATACTTTCGCAAGGCACTGTATATATATATATATACACTGTATATATGGATATAATAAAAGATATGAAATAGAGGAAAAGGAAAAACTGTTTAAAAAATGTAAAGCCTGATACAATATGTTTCACATACTGGGATTATTCTAATACTGTATATATAAAAAATAGTCTGAAATGTTATTTTAACTGCAGCATGTCCACTGGAAAAAGTTGTTGTGCGGATGTTATGTTTTGTGTAACAAAAACTATCAAATTCTTGTGAAGGTTTATGTTTAAAACATTTATGGTATTATCTTCAGGTCAAACTGAGCTAAGCAAGATACTATTTTAATTAATGGAAATCTACATGAATGTGTGAAACATTCTGATTATTTGATAAATTTTTATTACACAATAAGCAAGTCGAACTTGCACGTAGAGTCTGAAGGATGTGTTAACCCACACAACAACTTGTTTGCTCTGTGTAGGTGGAAACATCACTTTTGTGGCTAAAGTGAATACTGACTCACTGCTAAAGAAACCGACGGTCAAATGGTTCAAAGGGAAGTGGATGGACCTCGCCAGCAAGTGTGGGAAGTACCTGCAGCTGAAGGAGACATTTGACCGCAACACCATGGTATTGTAATGCTGCAGACAGAAGCAGGAACCTACTGTAGACTTTGGAAGAAATCTTTCAAAATTTTATTGGCAAACACAACACTTGTTTGCTTGTTTTTTGTTTTTTTTGTTTTTGTTGTTGTTAAAAGGTAGTACATAATTTTCTTCATGAGGCAACAAATGTGTTTTGCAAGTTTTGACCTGCTCACCTTCAGTTGAGCAAGTTCTTGCCTCAGTCACTCATGCTGATAACATGATTAACCACAAGCAGTTTACCTTAAGGGAAATGTTATGGCCAAGACATGTCGCTCCTGCAGATTCCATGTCAGAACAAGACACAAACATTTAATAGGAAACTACTGTGAGCAAGAAAATCACCAGTGCACTTCCTGATGATCCCAAATTTGAGAGTGATTAATAGTAAAGGCTTCTGGTGGGAAGTGACAGATGTTAGCCTCATTGTCTCATGTATATCTGTGTCTTATGTCTTGTTGCAGGTCCACACATTTGAAATGCACATCATCAGTGCCCAGGCAAACTTTGCAGGAGCTTACAGATGTGAGGTTTCATTCAGGAATAAGTTTGACAGCTGTAATTTTAACTTGACTATACATGGTGAGTGTACTTGTTGTTTATAATGCAATCAGATTAGTCACTGATATAATCTCACATCATAGTGTTTTTGATCCTTCTGTCCATTTCAGAGGCTTGTACTGCCGAAGGTTTGGACATAAGAGCTGCTTTTAGACGCACGTGAGTTTTATGACTTTGTTACTTTGTAGAAAACGATACTATTGGCCACAGCTTGTATGATACTTCTTTCCATTACTAGTTAATACTGTTATGGTGAACTTCAGTAAAAAAAAAAAGGTGAGAGATTTTAACATAATTGCTCATAGCTCGACCACTGTTTCACCTTTACTGAGCTTATAAAACATTTTAACTTGGATACTGAAATCAGTTTAATGCAGTCAATCTATTTATCAGTATTAAATGTTGTACTACTAAATACAGTAAACTAATATTTTTGAGTGGAAAACATGTCAAAGTTCAAAACGTGTTAAATAAACAAATAAATGTAAAAGCCACACAACAAACAGGACATGTTCAAATGGCTCGTCATATTTTTATTTTATATTTGCAGTCTCAGCCATCTTGTAATTTTGCTAATCTTGTTATTTTCAAATGAAGTTTCCAAATGAATCAATGTGTGAAACGTGACAAAGTGAGATGGCAATTAAATTGGTTACTTTCTGTGCATTCAGTACACTGCTGAATGTATTTGTTTGTTACAGTTCAGTTGTACTTAAATAGGATTTTAGGCAACATCCAGAGCTCTATACTTTGCATACTGTGCCTACATGCTTTGGTAGGTTTAAAGACTCAAATGTGCCAAAAAGCATACTTTGCCCATTGTAGAATTTTGACATTCTGTAAGAAATCAAGACCATTTAGTTGACAAAGGCATTAAAGAGGCATTAAGAGGCATTAAAATCCTCAAATAAGCTCCAGTAACGAAAGTCGGCATCTTGTTGTTCATTAGGAGCATGACTGGAAACCATTTAAGTGCCAAAAAAGACAGAACTTTTTTGCATATAGCTGATAAAGTTAATGTACAGTGGAATATTACCATGTTGTGTAAGAAAAAAATAACCATGTAAATGCTAACCTATCAGGAGTGAAGCCAGTATGAAGAGAAGTGGACCATCAACAAGGTAGTAAAAGGGGTTTGTGGCAACAATGGAGGCTCAAATTCAAACGCAGACTGTTAAAGAACAGAGAATCCAGGACAGGGATCAGGGTCTCGTTCTCGCTCCTGCAGCCTGTTTCTTCTCTGCCTTTGAATCAAACAGACTCAGTGTTGTGGATGGTGCGGCTTCCAATCTGCTGAATTTTGAGAGATTAGCCACAGCAGGACGACATGAGAGAGCTAAACATAAATATTTACAGATGACTCAAATTCAAAATCCTGGACGTAATCGCTAATTATAGTAGCTCTGATTCTGTGAACCTTGGACCTTTCATACCTAACAATTTAGTTTGTTAACATGCACTGGATGCACCAGTCAGCTCTTTCGGATCTCCTCCTGAGGTGTCAATCAAAACAGCAAAGCCAGCTACTGTACCTCGCAGAGTGAGCTTTGACGGTGGTTTGGTCATACTGAAAGTTTAGGATGTGCTAAGACATACAGGCTTTTCAGTAGCCAAGCTCATCCACTGGGTTGCCACATAAAGGAAGTGCAGCTATGGTGTGTTGTAACTTCACCTCACAAACCAGAGATTCACCTTCTAATCTGGTTGCTGGATCTGAGGCAGGAGACAAACACAGTCAAATCTCTGCTCGTTTTTATCTTTCACTGAGAGTCAAACAGACCCTGTACAGACACTGTTTCTTTTTTTAACCCTTAGTGTCTTGTTGTTCTTGTATGGATGACTGCTGCTGCTCATGGCTTTAAGGAACAGTTAGACTTCTTCACTGTTAGATAAGACTGACTGTGTGTTACTTCTGAAGCTGGAAGCGATTCGCTTAGCAGGTGTAAATGGCCTGCTCTGGCTCTCTTTAAAGTTCAGAAATAGGGCTACGTTTAAACCTTTAAACAAGGCCAGTCGTTATGAATCTTTAATCATAGAGATTTCGTATCTGTTAAACCTTTTCAGGCCTAGAAAAGTAATGTATGTATCGCATCATCCAATGTAAAAGCAATGGGCCAGTTAAAGAAACATTAATACATACAAGGCAAACCTGAAAGCTTTTGGCTTATTCAGGTGAATGGGAGCCATCTCTGAGTGGCAGTATCCACTTCTTCTGGTTTTATTCTTTTTCCAGTCTTCATGCTAAACCAAGCTAATAGATTCCCTGCTCTGTTTCAGTCAACACACAGCATTTCCCAAAATGTTGATCTGTTCCTTAAAGCATGGCGAGTCTTGGAGTGATCATGTCCACTTTAGTTCCTCTGTTTTAGTCTTCTAATCTTATTTCAATATCCTTCCACAAGTGGATATTGGAGCAAGGGTGGAAAGAAAATTATTAACATTGCATAAAAAGCCTATAAATATAGATCAGATAAATGCCTAAAGAATTAACATTTATCTTTTCTTTGGAACAATCAAGCAGCCTATAATCTTAATGTTATGTTGCTGGTGGATGATATTTCTGCAGTAGTGCAGACGGGAATGAAGACTCGGGAGAGCTGGACTTCAGCACCTTGTTAAAAAAGAGGTAAACAAGTACAAAATAATGAAGTACAGTGTAATTTATAGACTTTCTGGAAAACATTTTTTATAATTAATTCTGTCTCACTCATTCTATGTGGGCCATTCTGCATCTTCAGAGAGTAAGCAGCTTCTGCATTTGCAAACCAAAAGTTGGAATGATCAACTATAGTACTGACACTAACCTGCCTGCAAATATGCATGAATATTTCCTCACAGTACACAGTGATAATTTAGGGTAACATGTTTTTGTCACATGATTTAAACTTGAAAATGAAATTGGACTTTTTTAAATTAAAACATTTCTACATGCATCCATTTAAGTCCTGATTTTCCACCATATAGTCACCTCGTTACACTCATCACTTCGCTACACTCATCCTAATCTTGTGCTCACTAATATTGCATTTATCACTCACTTGATAAAACATATCTACACATTTATCAGACAAATCTCTTTATTGTCCCCTTTAATTGTTGTTGATGGCTTTTGCTGACATACTCTATTGACATTCAGTATCATCAAATTCACCTTATGACCTTTCTCTTCTTCGGACACTTTTTAAATTCAAAGCACCTTCTGGGCATGTAAAAATCACTTCTGTGTATCACGCACCATTACCAGACCAAATTCTCATTGTCCCCAGTGCACAAGGACATTGGACACCTAAGCATGATGTCAGTATATTACTGTAACTTGCACTGTTGTTTAAGCATGCTGTAATTGCTTCACTGCAGTGTTCCTCTATTATAAAAATCAGTTTTAAAATCATATTTCTTTCATGCCGGTTGTGGTTCCTTCTGCTGTGCTTTAACCTGTCTGGTTTGTTTTGCCATATTTGTTTCTTGGGTTCTACCTCTGAATGAGCAGCAGTTTAAAATCCTCACATCGGTAAGAAACTGCTATCTAAGGAAGGACATTACATACAAGAGAACTTCTTTTTGTGCAGGATTCTGTTATTTTAGACTTATTTTAAAAAAAGTGAACACTGTCAGAACAATTATTAGAAGTCAGTGTTTAACAATAAAGCATAAAATGTTGTATTATGTAATTGTGCACAAATAAATTTTTTGCAGTCTGCTGTATTATGTTGTTAAAATACTGTAGGTCAGTGCTTTGTCAATGAAATACAGTACAGTACATTTCTTATCAATGAGGTGCAACAAGGTGCTCACAGTAGTCATAAATACTGCTTATAATCTGATGCACAGATCCTGAACCCAAACACCTGGAGGCAAGGCAGGGGCAGTTCAAAAGCAATTTACTCTGGTCACTCAGGTCCAAAGGCAGCAGACAGAATATCGGCAACATGTAAACACACAAAAAAACAAAACATAATCAGCTCAGGAAAAATAATCAGCCTGTCTACTCATGAGTCAAGTAGGAGGAAGCAGATGGCAGGTAAAGATGTTGCTGAAGACACCTAGTGGACAGGTGTGGTAAAACCACCCAGACTAGAGGGGGAAGGGGAGGGAATCAAATCAAATCAAATTTATTTATATAGCACTTTAAAAACAACATCCTACATACTTAGCCCAAGCAGGTATTTAGTATAGCTTGTAAAGTTCACACTAGAATAGTGTCAAAGTTGACTCAAACCAAACAGCATGCATAATAAATAGCTGATTTTTGAGGGTGCTGCTGTTTGTGAACACTATTTTCCAACATATAACATTAATATTTTAGTCAAATTGAGGGATTATACTGTATTTGCTAGGGATGTAATTGTTTAATCAAATGTATAACAGTTATTAGTACAAAGAGAATAGTATAACTCCCTGAGGGAGGTGAGCAGTCTGAGCTAAGCTATGTAAATACATTTATATACTGTATACAAACTTTTTCTCCCTTTATATATATATTGCATATGCAGAATTATAGTCTACACTTTCATTGTTTGTATATAAGTTGAAAACTGATGTTTACTAATCAGTAGTTGCTTGTTAGAACAAATAAACTGTTATGAAACTGTTAGTCTTTGGATCTACATTCATGACCTTCATGGCAAACTGGGTGAATGACTAGTGTTCTTCCTCTGGCTGGTTTTTATGTGCTAGAGCTGTGCATGTGAGCACAGAACCTGATGTGGACGTGTGGGAGCTTCTCAAAAATGCTCCTGCTTCAGAATATGAGAAGATTGCTTTTCAGTATGGCATCACCGACCTGAGAGGCATGCTGAAGAGACTGAAGAAGATGAGAAAAGATGAGAAGAAAAGTGTAGGTTAGTATGCAGAGTTTGTCATCCTAGCAAATGTAAAAACAAGAAGTCCTAACAGTAACTGAATATCCTATTGTATGTATTCTCTGAAACTCAGCTTTCCTCAAAAAGTTGGATCCTGCCTATCAAGTGACAAAGGGACATAAAATAAAACTAGCTGTTGAGGTTGCCAATCCAGATGTTGAGGTGAGATGGCTGAAGAATGGACAGGAAATTCAACCAACTGGAAGGTCTGAATTAATCTCAGCTCTGTTGTAGCTGTACTCATCATGCTGATCTTTCAAAAAGACTCACATTTGAATGTTTTTCTCTCTTGCCCCTGCTTTCATCAATACATGACCAAATTCCCTGCTCGTCCTTCCCTCTCCAGCAAGTAAGTGGCATAAGCAAAACGTGATTGTGAGTTAATTTGTCTTTAAGTTGCATACACAAAGTATTTTATGACAGATATTGTGATGAGTAGATCTTTTTCTAAAAAGAAATTAACCTCCCACTTTCCCGGTGTACAAAACATTGTTCTTTGTCAAGGTACATATTTGAGAATGTGGGCAACATGCGCTACCTCACCATCAACCACTGCTCCTTGGTAGATGATGCAGCATATTGTTGTTTGGTGGGAGAGGAGAAGTGCACCACTGAGCTCTTTGTTAAAGGTATTTAAGGTTTAGAAGAAACAGAAAATATAAACTTGTGAGATTACCAGCTATGATTTAATTTGATTTAATGCATGTGTTTTCTGCAGAGCCTCCTGTCCAACTTGTGAAGAATCTGGAGGATCAGATGGTCATGAAAGGTGAACGGGTGGAGTTAGAGTGTGAAGTCTCAGAGGAAGGAGCCAGTGTTAAATGGTTAGATATTCTCCCTGACCCTCACAAACTGTTTTCATTCCACTGGATCATACTGTAAACCACAAATGCTAACTAAGCAAAAATATATAAAAAAGTATGAGATATGCTGGGGGGCCCAGCTATTCATAAATGTAACAACCGTACAGTTAAATATTGGCTATACATCACATTCATTTTGACCTATGTGTGAAATTCTGCGCAGGGAGAAAGACGGTGTGGAGTTGACAAGAGATGAATCTTTCAAGTATCGCTTCAAGAAAGATGGCTGCAAACATGTTCTGATCATCAACGAGGCCACAAAAGAAGACTGCGGCCACTACAAGGTTAAAACAAGTGGTGGCGAGTCTGTGGCTGAAGTCTTGGTGCAGGGTGAGTGTCAGTCATATGCTCAGCTCTGTGAGCACAGTACGAACCTCTTGTCAGCGATAAACACTCCAAGTGCACATTCCTGTGTGTGTGGCACTGCCCCTCTTGGCATGTTGTCTATCCTTGGGATATAGCGCCTCTCGCCATTGCCCTCACCACTCTGTTAAGGTGCACATGCCAGCCAAAGTTAGAAGGCACGGACCATATGTCACCTAAAGGGCACAGGTCTGCACAAGTGGCCCAATTTCTCTTTCTGATATTTTTCCCCTTTGTTGTTTTCTGTCTTGATTTAATTTTTTGTCAGACTTCTTGATTCGATAGCCACTACATAATCATGTCTAGATGAAAGCAAATAAAACCTGAATTTTCAGTGCTTCATAACAAAACTCTTCTGACACTGCTGCAGAAGCCTCATAGTTTATCTGTGTCACAAATCTTCAGTAGTTGGGCAGAAAATTTCCAAGAGGGAAAAATCAGGTCTTTGTTTTATAAAGACTAAGTTGTGGTTTTCTAGATTTTTCTCTAGTACCACGTAACAGCAGTCTGGTGATGATGAAAGTTCTGCACTGGGTCCTTCAGAATTGATTCACTGATATTAATCAGATTATCATTTTTGTCAGTAGTATGAGAGATTTGTTTGTGTGTGTGTGTTTAAGATGGGTCATGTTTAAGTTTAAAGTGGACAAATCTGCTTATAAGTTTTTATTTCGATCCAGTTAATCAAACACTGAGCCCACCAAGAATTGCCAGCTGCCATTGTGCAGCAGGCATCAACACCTCAGTCCACAGCAGAACTCTCATTATAACACCATTCCCACCTTATTTGCCCACCCTGGCAGCGAGCTGACGTGAAATTCCTGTAACCTTTACAAGGAGGGTGGTGTGACTTATCTCACCCTGATAACAATTTGATGAATAACTACAGTAACAGCCTGAAAGTCCTGCATCTGGTCTTCATATCCTCCCACTTTATTTTCTGTTGTAAATCCGATTGACTATTCCCTGTGTCTGTTGCTAAGATGTAACACAAAGATAATGAACAAGTCAAGTTGAGCATACTGTATTAATATATAATAGCATAAAGATCCTCGTAAGCAGTATAAAAACAAAAGGAATTACAGTGGGAAACCATGGATGAGTAAGGGATTACAGAATGCATGTAAAAAGAAGAATGCGTTATATAAGGATTTCATAAAGGACAGATCAAAGAAGGCGGAAGAAAAATAAGCCATATAAGAACAAATAAATTGAGATTTTGAGGAGATGTAAGAAACTATATTACTCTAAAGTATTAGAGGATAATAAAAATAACATGAGAGGTACTTGGAATGTACTGTATTAAATAAATTGATTAGAAACAGTTCCAGCAAGAGTAACTACCCTCAATATTTTATGGATAATGATACACAAGTCAACAGATTAGAGAATGTAGTTGATAAGTTTAATAGGTTCTTTGTGAATGTTGGTCCTGGTTTAGCAAGAAGCATTTGTACAGATGATACATCCGTCACTATAAATAATAATAATACAATCGAAAGGAACATGAGTTCTACGTTTTTGAAGCCCATAGTTGAAAAGAAAATTATAGAGATAGTGAATAAATTCGTTAACAAAACATCTAGTGATAGTGATGGTATCACTATGACAACTGTTAAATGGGTAATTGAGGGGATATGCAAACCATTAACCCATATTTTTAACATGTCGTTTCAACTTGGGCAGTTCCCCAATAATATGAAAATAGCAAAGGTTATTCCACTGTATAAATCTGGTGATAAGCACAACTTCACAAATTATAGACTGGTTTCTCTGTTGTCACAATTTTCAAAAACTCTTTAATAACAGATTAGATACATTTATTGACAAACATAAAATCCTCTCTGATTGCCAAGACGGTTTTAGGTCGAACCGATCGACATCTTTGGCCATTACCGACCTGATGGAGGACATTACAAGTGCTATGGATGAGAAGAAATACACGATGGGGA